CTACTAAGTTGTTCGTGACTCGTGAGACCTATGTAACCTATAGCTCTGATACCAACTTGTCACGTGGAATTCCCACCGTCGGGACCGTGATGGCGCCTAACATTTCACTTGCTAGGCAAGCCAACGTTAGAACAATTTATCTTTTTCTAACAGTTTAAAATCTATTAATGAAGAAGAACTGATTCAACTGCAATAATCCAAAATGTAAATACAGAAGTTAAAAGTGTAAACATCTGCTAGAAATCCCTGAATTCGGTGTCACGAGTGCACAAGCTACTAGAATAGTACATACAAGGGTCTGAAATAACATAAAGCTTTCTAAAAGAGGATACACAGCTAAATAAAAACAAGAAGGGGACTCCAAGAGCTGCGGGCGCTGAGTAGCTGTACCTCAAGTCTCCGCAGGCTGTCCGATCTGAGCTCTCTAGTAGCTCCCGCTAGGACCGACTCCAAAATCTGCACAAGAAGTGCAGAGTGTAGTATTAGTACAGCCGACCCCATGTACTCTGTAAGTACCGAGCCTAACCTCGACGAAGTAGTGACGAGGCTAAGGCGGGTCACCTACACTACAACCTGTACGCAGTGTATAATAATGACAGAAAATGGAAATACAGAACAAGATTTAACAGTCAATTATAACACAATAACTACAGCCTCAAGAAATGAACTAGTGTCGTCCAAAATTACCAATCCTTAGCATTTCAAATGAGAACACTGAAAACCAAACACAGCTCAGGAATTGGAAACACATAGGTTGTTGCTGCGCACAACCCGATCACACCGTACAACACAAAATTCTCCCTTATTCCACCGATATAACATAAAAAACAGAGATAATATATATAAATATGTTGCAGCGCGCAACCCGATCCCACCATATATCAATATCAGTATCATAGTTCAACCTTATTTCACCATATCAATCCACCCTTATTCCACCTGTTGCGGCGTGCAACCCGATTCCACCGTATAGTACATATTCACCCTTATTCCACCATATAAATTCACCCTTATTACACCTGCTGCGGCATGCAGCCCGATCCCACTATATCAGTACCAAATACTCAATGCACAGTCAAATCAATAGTTCAAACCATGAAACCTTTACGATCAATAAATACCAAACTGAACCAAAAGAAAACCTTGTATATTATAGAAATCTACACGAGTAATACTACACGGCGAGACCAATCCAGTAATTGACTATTAGATGGTGCAAGTAAGTCAATTTAAGCAAATAGCTGGGAACCATGAAACTATGGAAGGGCTAACATCATTCATAGGAGAAGATATTGATTACATGTAGCAGTTAAGCATATAAAGCATTTAGAGCATATAACAGTTAAGACAGGGAAGGAAATGATTAAGGAAAAGTGGAAAATCAGGGAAAACAGATAATTCGGCGGCGTATAACCACTCATCACCTCGGATATCATGAAATTTACATAGCACATAATCCGAGGGTTCCTAATTCCCTCAAGTCAAGGTTAACCACGACACTTACTTCACTCCGCAGTCAATTCAAAGTTCTACCGGGGCCTTTCCCTAGAATATGCCTCCAAACCACTCGTATCTAACCATAATTGACTCAATAATATCAAATATTGATAAAGGAATCAATTAAAATGCATAAATTTCAAATTCTAAAACTTTCTCCCAAAAAGTCAAAAACCGACCCCGGGCCCGCTTCAAAACCCGAGGTTCAGACCAAAATCTATTTACCCATTCACCCCCGAGCCCGATTATATAATTAGTTTCGGAATCCGATCCCAATTTGAGGTATAAATCCCCAATTTGCAAAAATCTCTAATTCTATCCAAACCCCCAAATTTCCACCATGAAAACACAAGATTTTAGGTTGAAATCTTAGGAAAACTAGTGAAAGATTGAAAGAAAATGGGTTAGAATCACTTACTAATGAACTGAGGAAGAAAGGGCCTGGCAAAAATCGCCCCAAAGGTTTTCTTGTTTTGAAAATTTGAAGATTGAGTGAAAATCCTGTTTTCTAGCTATTTAGTCAGTTGCAGGTATCGCATTTGCGACCTGGGGTTCGCCAATGCGAGCCCCACAAATGCGAACAAGTCTTTGCAAATGCGAAGAATGACCTATGCCTGGTGCCTTCGCAAATGCGAACCAGTGTTCGCAAATGCGGACTGTGAGGATCGCAAATGCGACCCAATACTTTGCAAATGTGAAGGTCCACCCCCAGCCCACTGCTCGCAAATGCGATGGCCTCTTCGCCAATGCGAGGCTTGCATTTGCGAGCCAGTCCTCGCAAATGCGAAGTCTGTAGATCATTGCAGCAGCTGCTATGTTTTCTAAGTTCAAAACACTCCGTAGCCTAACCGAAACTCACCGAGCCCTCGGGGCTCCAACCCAAACATGCACACAAGTCTTAAAATATCAGACGAACTTGCTCGCGCGATCAAATCGCCAAAATAACACCTAGAATTACAAATTAAACACCAAATCGAATGAAATTTTAAAGAAAGCTTTAAAACTTCTGTTTTCACAATCGGACGTCCGAATCACGTCAAACTAACTCCGTTTCTCACCAAATTTCACAGAAAAGTCATAAATATTATAATGGACATGTACCGGGCTCCGGAACCAAAATACGGACCCGGTATCAACAAGACCAAACATTGGTCAAGTCTTAAAAATCATTAAACTTTCAGTTTTCAACAAAAAATAATAACTCGAGCTCGGGACCTCCGAATTCGATTTCGGGCATACACCCAGGTCCCAAATTTTGATACGGACCAACCGGGACCGTCAAAATACAGATCCGGGTCCGTTTGATCAAAACGATGACCGAAGTCAACTCAAATAAATTTTAAGGTAAATTTTTTATTTTTATAAGTTTTTAACATATAAGCCTTCCGGATCAACACCTGGACTGCGCACGTAAATTGAGAAAGGCTAAAATGAGGTTCTAAAGACTTCGAGATACAGAATTTGGTTCTAAAACATAAGATGACCTATCGGGTCATCAAATGCTCGATCTCTATCCTGCCCGGCTCCGATCTTAACCGACCTCGATCTCGATCGGTCTCTGGGTCTCGAGCTCGGCAATCTAATTTTACACTACGGTCCGACATAACATAGAGTCGAACCTTGGCTTGCCTCATTTAAGGTCAAGCCCGATTTTGACCGTATACGAATTAATAACTTGTCATTGACAAGTTCTTAATTATTTAAATCTTGGTTAGGGCCATGTTTTTAGTCAATTAAATTTTAGCCACTAATTTTAACCTACGTAAAATGTGCCTAATCTAAAGCTAAAACTTGAAGAAAATGGAGAAAAAGAGAAGTAGAGCGGAGTCGGATCCTGGATCCATAATTTAAAGGTAGCCAATTCAAGTGAATGGGTGCCTATTAATATCAGATGTCTGTACGTACGACCCGCATTTCGAAGTAACATATGTTAATTCTCTTATTTAACACATGTAATTTTCACTGGTTTCAAGAATTTTTGAACTTCATCTAAAGAGTATTTGGTCTTCTTTTTGTAGAGACATAAACTATGGAGGTACATAAATATATAAAGAGTTGCATTAACTCTACTTATATAATCGAATATATAAAACTTAATCTAATAAGTACAGTTTTATTTAAGTAAAACTCATAGATTATTATTTATTCCCTCTATTCCAACTTAACTATCCAAAACGAGACTTAGCTATTCATATGTTGATCGAGTTAATCTATCCAGGCCAGATTGTGCGAATTTCAACTATTACGAAGTACTTGTTAATTCCAATTGACATAAGTACCGAATAATTCTACTACCAGTCGTAGACAGATAAGAAGAAATTACCTAATATTTTTTGAATTCATCAGAATTTAAATTTAAGATTTCATGGTTCTCCTCCACCTCATGGATGGATAATGAACTAAAGATTTTTGTGCGAAAAAAACTATAAATCTACAATTGGGAGATAAGTGATACCATATGGATGTGAAAGAGGTCTGATTTGAGCATAGCACTTCTTGTAACAAAGCCAAAACAGACCATATATTAGCAAAAGCTTGTTACGGTCTTATGGACCACGACCACTAGATCCAACTTTCTTTTAAATTATCTTAAATTAGGTCCACTTTCTCGTAAAGGAAATCAATTCCCTACCCTACTCAATAAATTCTAGTTATCTTATTGTCAAAAATATGTAGGACCATTTTTTATTGAAAATACTATGCAACTTTTTCAACTGGTCAACTTTATTTTCACTTTTACTCCCATTTAAATCTACTGAAACATCGATACTTGTTTTAATATTCAAACTAAATTGATGCTAATGAACACCTAAATTTAACACTACCTAGGGCTGGAAAAAACAATAAGATTCGATGTTAGTCTCCTCTAAATATATTTACGACCATCACATACAAAAAAGGATGATAATTAGAAATATCAAGCGATCTTTACACAAATAGACGGTCATATTTGTTATTTACTTTTTTAGCCATATATATAAATTATACATTCATTATATATAATTATACACATATAATACATAAATTATGTATATATTATACTTTCACCGGCTATTTTTAATTTAAATAGTTGGATGGACGGCTATTTGAGTTAATTCTTCAAATATTCAATTACAATAAAGAGAATGGCCCATTTGCCATGCCATTACACAATAGCAATAATATTATTGGTTTGTGTCGGTAGTGTTGGATCAGCGTTGACGAAAATTCGATCTTAAGAGAAACAAATAGAAGGTACATACTATATGAATTATAGCCTTTTGACTAATTCTATTGGTTCATTTAATGTTCCCGCCACATCCCCAACGGTTCAAACGCGTCGAATAAACCATGCATGCAGCTTTGCACACTGTTGACATAAATGTCTTCAGCTGACGAGTGACTAATAATACTATCCATATTTTGTCAACTTGGATCGAGTAACTAAGCCTATATATATTCAGAAACTCTGAGTGAGAAAGAGCACAAGTAATCTGATCTGAGAACCTTTGTGATACACAGCCATGGGTTCTTCTTCTCAAAAGTGGGTTATCGGGTTACTTCTTTTCTTGAGCATTTTCTTGGAATTGAGTGCCATCACTTTAGGTGATGACAAGCTTGAAGAGTCAAGGTGGGGTAATGATAATGGTTGTGGATATGGTAGGAGAGGTTGTGGTGGATATGGTGGACGCGGTGGACGTGGGGGATGGGGAGGACGTGGTGGACGTGGTGGTCCAGGTTTTGGTGGTGGTAGAGGTGCAGGTGGAGGGTTTGGAGGCGGAGCTGGCGGAGGAGCTGGAGGCGGTGGTGGACTAGGTGGAGGAGGAGGGTTAGGGGGTGGTGGAGGAGCTGGAGGAGGTCTAGGAGGAGGAGCTGGAGGCGGTGGTGGACTAGGTGGAGGAGGAGGGTTAGGGGGTGGTGGAGGAGCAGGAGGAGGTCTTGGAGGAGGAGCTGGAGGTGGAGGTGGACTAGGTGGAGGAGGAGGAGGAGGATTAGGGGGTGGTGGAGGTGGAGGAGTTGGTGGTGGAGCAGGTAGTGGAGGAGGGTTTGGAGCTGGTGGTGGTGTTGGTGGTGGTGCTGGCACTGGAGGCGGTGTTGGAGGAGGTGGTGGCTTCGGTGGTGGTGGAGGAGGAGGTGTTGGTGGAGGGTCAGGTCATGGTGGTGGATTTGGAGCCGGAGGAGGTGTAGGAGGTGGTGCAGGAGGAGGACTTGGTGGTGGAGCTGGTGGAGGTGGAGGTAGTGGTGGTGGGGGAGGTATAGGAGGTGGTTCTGGACATGGAGGAGGATTTGGAGCTGGAGGTGGTGTTGGCGGTGGTGTTGGAGGAGGAGCTGCAGGAGGAGGAGGTGGTGGCGGAGGAGGCGGTGGTGGTGGTGGAGGAGGTGGTCTTGGAGGAGGCTCAGGACATGGTGGTGGATTTGGAGCAGGTGGTGGAGTTGGAGGTGGAGCTGCTGGAGGAGTTGGAGGTGGAGGTGGATTTGGAGGTGGTGGTGGAGGTGGAGTAGGAGGAGGCTCAGGCCATGGTGGTGGTTTTGGTGCGGGCGGAGGCGTAGGTGGTGGAGCAGGTGGAGGATTGGGAGGAGGAGCTGGTGGAGGTGGAGGATTAGGAGGGGGACATGGTGGAGGATTTGGAGTTGGAGTAGGCATTGGCATAGGAGTTGGTGTTGGTGCTGGAGCTGGAAAAGGAGTGGGTGTAGGAAGTGGCAGTGGCGGCGGCGGCAATGGCCGATGATGAATCTCGTAGCCACGTAGCTACACCACGGCAGTACCAAGATGTTTGAGCCGTTATGGTTGTTAAGCTACAGCTATATTAAACAAATTAATGAGTTTGTATTACTGGCTTTTGTATGCATTGTGTTTTCTGTAGTTTCCAATGTATCATCCTCAGATTTAGAAACGAAGCTAAGAAGCTTAAATTACTTATTCCTTTGTGTGTAAATCCCTGGCAAGTTTCTTCTGAGTGGTTTCATAAAAATAACCAACATTTCTACTTGTTTATTTTACGGGAAGTATTTCCTTTCCCTACAACTTTCTATAATTAATAATGTATTGAACACCCCCCCCCCCCCCCCTCAAACTATCGAGCAATCATCAACTTTAAAATGCTCAAGTTCATTATTTAGAATTCAGAATATAGTTTATTTACCAACTGTTTAGAGATTCTGATAGTATTTTTTATATGAAGTACTGGGGACTCATCATTTTGATAGACATTCTTAAGATGTTATATTAACAGACATTGGACCAAAAGATGATTATTCTCATAAAAGACAGCAAATTATTTATCCTGTGGTAGCTAGCCTTTACACACAGATCAATTTGGAAACAAACTTGAACTCTAAACATACTAGAATTCACTTTGTTCTGACGGACTATTATCATTATTATATGTCGTCTATTAGTAATGTAAAACTGTAACATTAAACTGAATAACAACGTGATGAACAGCCAAATCGAAGTGTATAGTCTCAAAAGTTGCATATCCGCGAGCAAGTCTAAATTTTCGAGTACCACCAACCACAGCCACTTCTCTTACCCTCTCAAACTGTGGACTAGCGCCTTGTATTTCCAAAGTGCTGCCTTTATATTCTTTATTTCTGAAGATGATTGATATTAGCACATGAGAAATAGTTCCATCCAATGCAGAAGTAACATATATACCTTGAGCTCTAGCAATTTCAGCAGAGTTCTTATCAAAGGCTTCTGTTATTGGATCATCAGTAACGAATACAGAACCGAACTTAGCAAAACTCAGAGGACCATTTTGGTGATCTCTTATTTGAAGCACAGTGGCATTTGGTCCACCAGACCAATCTTGAAAGTAGAGTGTCATTCTTGTTTCTTTAAGTTGGTCTAGTTCAGCTTCTGAATTAATGAATATGGTTAGAAGTAAAATGAGGGATAACTTGAATGAATTCGATGCCATATTAATAAGATCAACAAAAGAAATTATGTTATACTTGAATGTTGGGTTTTCAGTGATTTAATTTGGTGTAATGCTGGGTATTTATGCAACTCTCGTTTCCATTCCTGGGGATGCAGGCAGGGGGAGTGGGTTGGGTTTAGGATTAAAAAACATGAAGTTTTTAGTCTTTTCATCCCTTATTCCAATTTTGAAAAGGACGTTGTGTGAGTAGATGAAAAGATCATAAGATCACACAGAAACTTCTAAATTAAAGAATATGTTTCAACATCTCAATGATATAAAGTATAAACTAAGATAGTAAAGACAGAGAATGGTATGTTGGATCGATAGATATGATACGCATTTTCTTTTCCACAAAGTTTCTTGTTGTAAGCGATAGTACCTATAGGATTTGATACTTTATTTTTTCGGTGGAAATCCTGTTAGATGCTATTATGTCTTTCTTTTTTCAATAAATAGTTGTAACTGTAAATGATAGTTCTACACTTTGGTACTCCTTTTTGTCCACAAATTTATATCCATTTTTGTTTTTTGCTAATTTAAGTTTAGTGCAATTAAAGTATCACTTACAGACGCATATAACTTGTGATTCTGGAACTTCTGCAATTGACTATAATCATCGTATCAATTGACCACAAAGGCACAAACAGCTTGAAAATTGTACTCCTGTTGGCCCAAGTAAGAGTGAAGTTTTGAAGATTGACAAAAGAACTCAGTCATGGATCAGGTCCATCTTGTAAGGCACAGTAGTGATCAACCCAAACATGTGAGATGCACGTGAAGGAGATAAGCCTAACTTATCAGAAGTGATATCTCCTGATCATGATCGAAAATGTTGCATATTGGATAAGGAGAAAGACTCCTTATACAAAGAGAACACGGTTTAAGAAAATGATAAGAGTTAGAGTATGAGATCAACTAGAACTCTTTCACGATGGAAAAGTAGCATCTGTATCCTAGTCAATCTCTTATGACTAACTCCTTAAATATCAGTGTTGTTCTCTTTTACAGAAAATGCACATAAGCAGAAGTTAAACGTGAATTGAGAGCAAAATAGCAAGGCAATTTTGCAAGCAATTCATGTGTGATTCAAGCGTGCAATCCTGAAGCTACTTGAACCAGATAGAAGAACCAGTTCCAAGTGTCTATCTTTTATTCTAGTTCAATTGTAGCAGGTGATTTTTTGCATTGTACCTTTCAACTTTTATAGAAGGAATTGTATTAGGTACTTAGAGTATTCAAGTTAGAGTTAACTTGAAGTTGTCGCAGCAGTTGAGGTTGTGTGCCACCACGGGATTAGAGTTAATCCTAGGTTTACAAAAGAGTTTTTGTAAATGCAGTTTTTGGCTCAGTGATTTTAGTGGAAGTTTGGGAAAACCCTATTGAGTAGTTGGTCATGATTTTTTCACCTTTTGACCCAGGTGTTTTCCACGTAAAAATCTCTGTGTTAATTATTTTTTTTACTTATTATTCCGCAAACAGTAGTAGTTGGAACACATAGAAGAACCAGGTCCTTCTATAATCAAGTTAAGCGAAAATTGGGTACCACAAAAATCACATCCCCTCTTGTGTGGTATTGAAGTATAAAACATCAATTGGTATCAGAGTAGGTTATCCTTGAAGAGGTTAACACCTTAGGAACAGATCAAGATGAGTGCACCACTTGGAAACTGGAAAGGGCAATCCACTGCTAGGCCCCTACTCTTTAATGGTCAGTACTATTCTTGGTGGAAGAACAAGATGAGAGACCGCATCATAGGAGAAGACTATGAACTCTGGGACATAGTCACTGATGGTCCCCTGGCTACTACAAAGAAGAATGCTGAGGGAGTGGACGTGCCAAATACAAGAGTTGACTGCACTGCTGAAGATTTAAAGAAATGGAAAAAGAATGCCAAGGCCAAGAAATGACTTGTGTGTGGACTAGGTCCAGACGAGTACAACATGATTCAAAGCTGTACCACTGCTAAGGAGATATGGGACACTCTACAAGTGGCCCATGAAGGAACTCCTCAAGAGGAACACTGTTATATTCTCAATATGAGAATTTCACCATGAAGGAAGGAGAAACTATCCAGGAGATGTACATAAGGTTCATAACACTAACAAATGAACTTAAGTCTCTTGGAAGAATTATCCTTGAAGAAGACAAGGTTGAGAAAATCCTGACAAGGGTCTTACCAGTAACTTGGGAAAGCAAAATCACTGCTATTCAGGAATCAAAGAACATTGCTACTCTCAAGTTGGATGAGCTGATTAGAAATCTCACTGCCTATGAACTGAGAAGGCAAACCATGAAAATGGATGCACCCAAGAAGGAAAGGAGCCTGGCTCTCAAAATAGCTGAAGATTCAGATCTAGAGGATGATGAAATGGCCACGATCACAAGGGATTTCAAGAAGTACCTGATGAGAGGAAAGGGTTCTTCAAGAGGTACAACCTTCAGCAAACCAAGGGCTCCTGAGAAACAGACAAGTGCAGCTACAAATGTGGCAAGACTGACCACATGATCAAGAATTGTCCTCAGTGGGAAATCGAATGGAAGAAGGAAATGGCTGAACGAAGGAACAGGAAGAAGGAACAGGTTCAACCCAAAAGGAACAAAGGATCAACAAAGGCTATGGTTGCTGCTTGGGGAGAAACCTCAAATGAGGATTCAGAAGATGAAGCTGGAGATGAACAAGCACTTATGGCCATTGGAGGATCAGATGATGAACAAGAGGTAAGTGTGACTCATCTCAAAGACAAGATTAAATTTTTGTCTAAAGAAAGGTTATCTGAATTATTGCTAAACTTCATTGATGAGTCTGAGGTAATAAACAATGAGAAGGAACAACTGTCTATGGAGTGTGTGATCTTAAAAGCCAAGTGCAAAAATCTAGAATCTAGGACTAGTGAGAGTGATAGTAAAAATACTGAGTTGAAGAACCAGGTTCTTGAACTTGACACTAGTATCTTAGAACTTAGATTTGAAAATTTAAAACTGAAATTAGGAACAGGTAAGAAGAAGGCTGATCACACACATATTACCTTAGAAGAAAATCTAGGAAAAATGAAGGATGAGCTGTACAAGAAAGATGAACAAATAAGAGTCTTAAAAGAAGACCTAGGGAAGGTAAAGCATGAACTAGACAGAAGTTGCAAATGGAATAAGTCTTCTGATGCAGTATCTTGGCTACAAGAGCACCACAATAGCAACAAGAGAGGACTTGGCTATGGGACTCCAGCACCTAAGTAGGATCCCAAAAGCAAGTACATCACACTTCCGGAAAACGAAATCCGCACACACTGTGGCAAGACTGGTCATTACAAAAGTGAATGTAATGCAAAGGAAAAGGTCAGTCAAAAGAACAAAACCTTTGTTCAAGAGAAAAACAGGCTGCCAGGATGGGCCAAAAGGAATTTAATTCACCCCTTTGCCTATAGAAAGGGACCCAAACTAGTTTGGGTTCCTAAGACTAACCCCTGATTTTATTTTTCAGGTCCAAGTATAGGGAAGTAGCCAAATATGGTACATGGATAGTGGATTCTCAAAACATATGACTGGAAGTAAGAACCAGTTCCTTTCACTTGAAGACTTAAAAGGAGACATTGCCTCCTTTGGAAATAGGAAGAAAGGTGAGATTATTGGGGTTGGAAAGGAAGGTAAGACAGAATCACATTCCATTGAGAATGTCTACTTGATAGATGGCTTGAAATATAGCCTAATCAATGTATCACAACTGTGTGACAGAGGTAACTTGGTAGCATTCACCTCTACAAAATGTTTTGTGATTAATCTTACCACTGACAAGATTGTTTTGCAGGGAAAAAGAGTTAACAATATTTACATTGTAGATTTGTCCACTCTATCAGAAAATGAACTCACTTGCTTGAGTGTGTTGGACAATGATCCCCTCTTGTGGCACAAAAGACTTGGTCATGCAAGTCTAAATCACCTCAACAAATTAGTCTCCAAGGACCTGGTGATAGGATTACCTAACATCAAGTTCAAGGAAGACAAAGTTTTTGAGGCTTGTGCAAGGGGGAAGCAGGTAAGATCCTCTTTTAAAAGCAAGAAGA